TTTATATGTTTTGATCTTAAGATCTTTAAGGGAAATTTATTGATTTTGATACAAGAACTTGTTTACAAAAATTAGAAGCCTTAAGTTTTTCGATTTTACAGTTTTTTTTTTTAATATAGTATATTTTTGTATCCTCGCAATGGTATTATATTTTCAGTCAGAAGCTTAAAACTAAGTGAAGGAGTCATTTCCGACCCTATAAATCATATATATTCTTGATCAGCATCAACAGCCGAATCGATCTGGCTATCTTACAAAAAAAAACAAGATTATAAATTTTTTCAACATTTTTTAAGGGGTAACATCGTTAAAATTGTCAACAAAATTTTAAGAAAAATTTAAATTTTTTTAACTTTTAAATTTAGTATGCAGATTTATTAACGCACTATAAATTAACATAGGATCGCTTTCCGAATTAAAATTAATGCATTTTTGGCGTAGTAATGAGATTTTTAAAATTGGATTTGTTCAAAAAATGTTCACATAAAAATATAGTTAATATCGATTAAAAAATGGTATTATAACTTCAGTCAGAAGCTCCGACCCTATAAACCGTATATATTCTTGATCAGCATCAACAGCCGAATCGATCTGGCTATCTTACAAAGGAAAACAAGATTATAAATTTTTTCAACATTTTTTAAGGGGTAACATCGTTAAAATTGTCAACAAAAATTTAAGAAAAATTTTAATGTTTTTAAATGTTAAATTTAGTATGCAGATTTATTAACGCACTAAAAATTAACATAAGACCGCTTTCCGAATTAAAATTAATGCATTTTTAGCCAAAGTATGCAATTTTAAACTTTAATTTGTCAAAAAAATTGTTAGATAAATATATCCATTCAAAGCTAGTTAAATTATTTTACTTATTTGGAAATTATAGAATCCATTTGGAAAACGATGTTTAAAATTGTAGATTAATTGTATAAATTTACAGAATCCACCGTAAAAGCTAGTTTTGGGAATCATTAGTTTTAGTTTACAAAGTCCCACCTTTAGCTATAATTATTGCATTTGGAAAATAATAATAATAAATAGTAATAATAAATATTATATTATATTTTCAGGCTAAACATCTGGGCGTGGAGTTGTTAGTTTCGAGGCCAAACCCGACAACACTTCCTTATTACATTTGAAGGAAGAAGGACATTTGGAATTGCAGCATGAAAGGAAAGGACGGAAGGAAGAAAGGAAACGGGTAAAGGAAGGGAGTAAAAGTCTGCTAGTTTGTTCGTGGTTATTTTTTTTTTCTGCACATTCGTGCTCTGTAATTGTAATTGTGTTACACTCGCAAAGTCCTTGACAAATGCCAAAGGATGACCAGGGATTGCAGCCGCAAGACCCCCCAGAATCGTCCACAGAACGAACTGCAATGAACCTCTCCCCATCTCTGTCTCTCCCTCTCATTCTCTCTCTCTCTATCTCTTTCTATTAGCGCCTCTCTTTCGCTGGTCTCTTTCTGGCGCCGATGCTTGTCTTTGACTCGAAATGACCTTAAACTGGGTTAAAGCTCGCCAAAGTTACCTCAAATACAACGATGGCGGTGGTGAGGGTGTGCGGGGGGTGGTGTGTGTGGTGGTGTTGTAAATTGAACTTTCTGTGCAACAGAGCATGGAGCGAAAGAGAGGGGGACACAGACCGGGAGAGAGAGAGAGAGCGAAAGAATGAGTGAGAGCCACAGTTTGTTTGCCTAAATGCAACTCATGAATCATTCACACGCAACTATGAATATGCAAAAGCGAATCGCTTTGAATGCACAACATGCACCGCAACAACAACAAAAACGCCAAAAGTCGAAAAAAAAAAAACAAAAAACATTTGAAAAACAACAACACAAAAAGCAATATAAACATAATGTGAGCCATAATATTAATCGGGGGAACGAAATTTCAAGCAAATGCAAGCCAGAAATGTATGGAATTCCCCATGAAAGCTAATAGAAGCAATAAAGAAGGCTAAATAATAATAGTTTTTGAATAATTAGGATTTCAAAAATATCAACACTGCGTATGAGTAATATAATTTTCAAAAAACCCCAATAAAAAATCAGACAAAAAACCCTTGTAAAAACCCCATGAAATCTAACTGAAACAATACAGAAAATTTTGAAATTTTTTGCCAAAAATCTAAGTCTACATTGCGTATGAGTAATATATTTTTTAACTATTTAAAAAATCATTGTAAAGCCATTAAACTTTATATAAACAATAAAGGAAAATAAAAGGTAATATTTTTTAAATATTTTCTATTTTAAAGTATCATGAAACACAAAAGCTATAATTCTTTTTGAATATTTCTCATTTAAAAGTCAACATTGCGTATGAGTAATAAATTTTTTGAAACTATAAAAATATCCTCTGGTAAATACATAAAATCTTATGGGAACAATAAGAATACCTAAATAGTAAAAAAGGTACTTTCTATATATTACCTATTTAAAAAAAAATCAGGCAACATTGCGTATGAGTAATATAATTATGAAAATATCCCAAAACCTGTAACTATACAAAAATCCTACCAAAAGATCACTTAATCTTATAGAAAAATAAAGAAGAGTACATAATTACAGTTTCTGACTATTTCCTATTTAAAAATATCAAAAACATATATCAAATGCAAGAATCCTGTTAAAACAGCATTAAATCTTATAGGAGCAATAAGGAAAGCAAATAAGTAATAAAGCTTAAGTATTTTCTAGTTTAAAATATCTGGTATCACTACATACGAGTAAAGTGCATTTTAAAATATACAAAAAAAACCGTCAAAAAACTTTGAAAAGTCCCCTTTAAAATCCCTGCAAAACCTCTTTAAAATCCCTGTAAAACCTCTTTAGAATCCCTGTAAAACCTCTTTAAAGCCCCTGTTAAAACTGTTCCCGTATTAAACATACCCACATACATACCGCTGTTGTAGGAAATACAGTTAGCAGCGCAGCTTTCGGTTCTTCTAATTGCCTTTCATGTAATTCATTTTCTATTTGCCAAGAGAAAGTAAAAACAAAAAAAAAACACACGCGCACTACACACAACGAATACGGCACACACATCAATACATTTTATTGCTCATCAAAAAAGTTTGACGGCTGCGCTTCGTTTTCTATTGTTGCTAACTTTTTGTTTTTTAGTTTTTTTCATTTTTGTGTAGGCGTTAAGTCGACGGCGCAGCGAGATTAGGAGGCAGATGGAAGGGGGAGAGAGAAAGATCTGAACTGAGCTGAGCTTAGGAAATGACACAGACGCAGAGCCGCAGAGCAGAACGTTCGAGAGAGCGGGAGAGCAGAGAGAGCAGAAGCGGCCGAAAGGTGAATGACTTCAAGTTGCGCAGTCAGCTCGCTCTAGCGCTCCCGCCTCTCAACAGCCCCCACCTCCACCTCCGCCACCCAGCACGCTCCCGCCTCTCCACAGCCCCCACCTCCACCACCGCCACCAGACACTCACGTTTGCTTGCTCTGCCTCTCTCTGACTATTTTAACTCTGGCATTAGATCTTTTGCATTTACAGTTAAAGCTCGTTTAAGTGAATCCAAGCAATGCATATTCTTCAAGTAATTTATAAAAAACACAGCTAAATGGGATTATTTCACTAATCGTTATTACAATTTGGCCTTTGGGAATGTTTAATTACTTCACTACTATTTAATTCACTTTATCACTAACGCTGTTGTTATTCAAAGTGCTCACTGTATTTTATTTGCTTGCCCAAAAAACGTGCACTGAACTTTCGAACAGAACAGCTGAGAGCTTTTAGCCGCTTGTAGCGCTGTGAAAGCTTCGCCACTTGGTTCTCTCTCTCTCTTACTTTGTTACTATGTTTATGCCATGAAATGCATGAAATATTGAAAACGTGAAATCGAAATAGACACTGTTTAGCTACAAAAAATAATTTTATGAATTAATATTAGCAAAAATGCCACCACCTGTGCTATTAGTGTAAGTATCTGTTTGCTGTTGCATAAATAAGATGAAATGTTGTGATTCATGTACACGAATACATGAATTTGGCTGCGCATAAACACAGTTTGTCTCTCTCTTTTCGTGTGCGCCTGGCTACGGCAAACGGCAATGACAGTGTAGCTTTACATTCTGCCTTTTAGTAGGTCAACAAAATTCCGGACAATGGCCTTTCGCTTTCGTCTGCGCGCGTCTGCTGCGCTGCCCCGGCGTCGCCGTTGGCATCGAGCCGCGCAGCTGGCGTCGCTGCAGTTGGGAGCTTCGAAATGTAAATAGAAGCCGAAAGGCAACAAAAAAAAAAGACACCCAACCAGCACAGCACCACCACCACCACCACCACCATCACCACCTTCTCCTCCTCCACCCACCTTTCGATATGGCGACGCGACGATGAACATGAAGATATTTCAGTCGCCGCCGTCTCTGCTGGTTCATGTTGTTGTTGTTGTTGTTATGGCTGCTGTTATTATTGCACTTTTACTGTTGTTGTTTCTGTTTCTGTTGCTGCTGCTGCTGCTGTGGCCGCTGCCGCTGTGGCCGCTGCCGCTTTCGATGGCGTAATAGGCGCATGCATTTGTATGTGCATGTGTGTGTTTGTTAACGCGAATACAGTTGAATTTCACCAAAAGGAACTTGGGGGAACTTCCCCAATGGGGAATGAGTTGAGCGACGCCAAAAAATACATATTAAAATTACACAGCAAGAACTTGATCCGATGATGACTCTTCTTTTTGATTACTGTTTGCCTTAGGGATGCACCAGAATATCAATTAATATCGGTTAAGAAAGGGCATACCGATATTTAAGCTTCTGAGCTTTTCTTCTTTGTTTACATTGTTTTGATCGATTTGAATTGAAGATCGTTCTTAAGAAAAATGTCGTTACACTTGTAAGTTAGTAATTTGTAAGAATAAAACGTTTAAATAATAAACTTTATATTATTAAATTAATAAATAGTAATGAAATTGGGTGGGCAGCCCGTTTTTGGCCAACTTGCCCATCAAGTTGGCCCTGGGCTAAACATTCGTATTCATTTTGTCAGCTGGAACATTATTGTTAATATCAAGGCATCAGTGGAAAAACCTTGCTGAGCTCCCAGTTTTCCTAGCTTCCCACCATCCCACGCTTTTTCACCCAACCCACAAACCAAGCGGAAAACCCCCTCAGGTATGTACTGTATGTGTGTATGTACTGTATGTGTGTATGTACTGTATGTGTGTATGTATGTATGAACTGTATGTGTGTATGTATGTATGTATGTATGTATGTATGTATTTATGTATATATTTATGTGGATTTTATGTAGGTTAAAGGGCAGCGTTCGTTGCACTCGCAGACTGAAGGACAGCAGCCCCAAAATGGGCGGTGTGTGTGTGGGTGGGTGGGTCTTGGGCCTTGGGGGGCGGTAGGAGGTGGCCTTACACAAAAGGGGAGAGGGTTGAGATGGAGGGAACATGAAGGGAAGAATGTAGGGTGCATGCAGGCCAGGCAAAATGCAAAATGACGTAGCCATAGCGAAGTCATGGACTTTTGAGGGTGCTCCACACCAACCAGCCACATCACCCACAACATCTACACCACCCGCAGCACCCACAGCACCCCCCTACCCCTCTCTCCGCCACTCAGAGTGTTGCAAGCACCTCCAAGCCGCAACTATACCCATTCCCCCCGAGTCTCGACTCCTGGCATTGCATATTTATGAGGTCCATCCCCCTTCCCTCTTTCTCTCCCTCTCACTCTCTCTCTTTCTCTCCCTCTCTCTGTCTCTTCCCCTTGTCTGCCATTAACTTTTGGCTTCCTGCTTTCTTAGTTTTTTGTATTATTTAGGCCATAATTGGTACAATTAAATTAAGAAATCAATATTTATATAAAATTAAGTTGCATTTTTGCTTAAAGATTGCAGTAAGGTAATATTTTCAGCGATAGTATCGCTAGTATCGATAGGAATAAATATTATGTAGCCCATAAATAAATATTTATATTTAAATTATATTTCTATTGATAAATATATTATAAGTTTTAAATAAATTAAAATTGAAAGACTTTACAAGTTTTAAAGCACTTTGGCAATACCGATATTAGAAATAATTTTGTGAATACCAAAAACGTGGAGGGGGGAGGGGGTACCGATAATTTTGTAATCGTTATGCAATCACACAAGTTTCAAAAAATTTTGTTTCCTGTCATTCACATCTGTTCAAGATTCTGCCATTCCAATTTTTTTCTCATCCGGTAAAGGTGCGTGTGTGAAGGTTTATTTTTTTTCTAATTTTATTTATCTATTTTTTTTTGGTGTTTTGAATATTATTCTAAGAGAAAGTGAAATTGTTTTATTTGCAGTGCACTTGCTTCCTAACCCTGCAACGATGTCACATATGAGGAGCCGCGGGGAGGGGGACCATGGCAGCGAGGGGAGCTCGAGTGATAGCCTCAAATTGGCCGATTGCCCTCAAACTCTGGTATCCAATGAAAATAGCAATTCGAATAAGGTTTCGACTCGTCGTCGCTGTCGCAACCGTCGCCGCCGTATCAGTGGAGAGTTCAGCAGCAGCAGCAGCGCATCGGAGGTCATTATCACACGCCGTCGCCATCGTCGTCGTGGCGTTCTCTCCGACGAGGATGCATTATTGACCTTCGAACCATATCAGCCCAATGCAGCCCTTGCACGTGCTCCGGCGGCTGCTTCTGGCCGAATTGTGACGACCAAGAGATGGTATCAAGTTCCATGGCGCAATATTTGCTTTGTCATTTTATCGGTAATTGTACTGATATTGTTTTTTCAAACATATATGGTGACATGGATAACTGGACGTCCACCATATCGCTTCAATTGGAATCTATGCGCACTGATTATCTGCTGCGTCCTGATGTGCATATTGATGTCGCAGGATCTGAAGTAATCGACGAAGGACACATATACATATGTACATATGTATGTATGATGAGAACAAGACTCCAGAGGTGGCGACATCGATGTTTGCAACATGTTTAAACACGAAACATCGTTGGATCACCACCTCTTATCAATCAAATACTCATTACTCGAATTTAAAAATTCTATTCGAAATACTCATGCAAGCTACATTCCAACACTTTCAATACAACAAACCAGTGCTCCTGCTTCAACAATATGTTACAAATATCCACAAAATATTATAAATAGTTTTAAATTCGAGTTCTCACACTATTCCAATGTTCCACAATACCTCATTTATATCTATTAAATAAGAGTTCTTGTTTTCAGTTCATACTAAATACTACCTCTGTTCCACAATATCTTGTAAACAATAACTTACAGTTTTGGAATAAATTTATATATGTATACACAAAATAAAATATTTAAAAAAACATTTTTTGAATAAGGTTTTTTTTCGCACTCACCCTTTGTTTCTCCCGCTGCTGCTGCTATTGTTGTTATAGTTGTTATAGTTGTTGTTGTTGTTGTTATTCTGATTATAGTTGTTGTTGCCGCTAGTCTTGAATCTGTCTTTAGTTCGAACTTTAGTGTTTTGGCTTGTGGTTGGATTTAGATCGGATCGATCAATAAAGTTAATATCAAAGCCGTCAATATTTTTATTGGCCCGTTGTTGAGGGTTTAAATGCACAAATAGTTGGTGGCTGCAGATAAAGAGAAACATAAATAGTTTGAGGTTTTTATTCAATCAAATAAAACTTAAAATCAATTCAGTTTAAATATGTAAAATAAACCGCGCCAAACTTTTTTACATACATTCAGTGGCGACCTCTGGCGGAATGTTTTGCAAGCAATTTTCCAAGTTTCAAATGTGATTATAAAAAGATAGAAATTCAGTAATAGTTTTAAAGTAGATTCAGAAAATATATGAATATTTTCATTATTGGTTATATATTTATTAAATTGGCCACTTCTAAACCTTATTTTTAACGAAATTTATTGCAATTGCTGGCAATATAACAGTCTTTATGCTATAGCCGATACCAGCACCACCATTTGCCAACGCCATCTATGTATGAAAGCGAAAGATCTTTAGTGCTTATGTTGCACTGTATTTTTTATATTTTAAGTAACAGCCAAAAATTTACTAAATAGATAATTAAGTGACTTACAAAAACAGTTAAAGTTATGTTTTGTTGTGTTCAAAAAAACTTCTTAAAAATTGTGTGTAATTTAAAGAGAAAAATCGCCAAACACTCTTATTGGTGTGTTTAGAAAAGAAGTAAGGAAGAGAGGCATGGAATGCTCTCTTAGGTGACGACTCTCTTTCGTTTTGGGGGGCCCGTTTTCTCTTCACTCTTTCGAGGGTTCGTTCGCTTGCCTCTCTTTGGTTGCGCCTGCACTTTTGTGTGTCAATCGGTTTCATTAACCCCGACGAACGAATGTGCAACAGCAGCCAAAGAAGAGGAAGAAGCGACGGCAGCGCCGTTGGCAGCGCAGCAAGCAGCGAAAGGTCAACAAAGTACGTTTCATGGACACACATGCATTTGCTCTTCATCTTCTTCTGCCTCCTCTTCACCTTTCCCCACCCCCCTTTGGCTGCTACTTCTTGCACTTGGTTTTGATTGTTCTGCTGGTTTGTTATTGTTTTTAGTTGCTGTTGTTGTTTTTGTTGATGTTAGTTTTGCATTTGGTTTTCGCTAGTTGAGGAATGTCACTCATTTGTTGTTGCAAATGCACCCGCCCACTTAAGCATCCCAATTAGCGATGGGACTATCGGAAGCGTTTGAATTAATACTTATAATATTGACATTTATAAATTAATTAACATTAATATTATTATAATATTTTTTTTATTATTTAATGCTCTTTAAAACCTTTTTTTTTAATTAAACTTTTGCAAAAAAATATATTTTCCCAAATACTTATACATTTTTAGGTTCGTTTTAATTTTCATAAGGGGATTTTCATTAATAAATTATGAATATTAAATAGAAACAAGTATTTACATTAAGTTTAAATTAATAATTACAAAACTTCTAATAGAAATATACAAACTATATTTATTTTTTTATGTTTAAATCAAAATCTACTGTTTTAATTTTTTGTATATTTTATTATTAGTTATTGATATAAATTATTTATTTTATCTAAAGTACTATTGAAATTTAATTAATTTAATTAAATACAAATTGTTTGGGAATGATTTGCAGGGTCATGAACCTTATTAGCTTTGTTTGATTAGTTTATTTTGATTAAATTTGAATAAACAATGATTTACTAATGCTGACCTGTCAGCACCTCAAATCAAATCATTCACACCTGATGACACTTCTCCCACTTCTGCCCCCTTCGCCCCCCTCTGTTTCATGATTCCTGCCCCTAAGCATGGGTCATTGCTTTGGATTCTAGCTTTCTCGCTCTATATCTCCCTATCCCCCCTATCTGTGTCTCTCTCACTCTCGGTGGCAAGACCAGAAATGCGGAAGAATATGTAACTGCAGAGTGAGAGAAAAAAGAAGAGGCAACATAGAAGGAGCAACAAAAAAAATAAAACAAAATTAACTGCATAGTCTGGCGATCGCAGACAGCTAAAAAAAATAAATAAATAGAAAATGGCAGCAAGACTTCCAGCTAAAAAATAAATTCCAAGGAAAATATTAAATTTCCGAGGTTTAATTTCGATTTATAATCTATAATTATTACTTTGAAAGTTATACGATTAAAGTAAAGGAAAGTACTTGAAATATATTCTAAAATATGTAAAAAATATTTTAAATATATGACATAATAAATTTCTAATGCATTTTTAATATACATAAATTTTTTTAGAATACTTAATTAATAATATAAAGCCCTTAAAATAACCCAATGACTCTATGAGCTAATCAGCTGCCTCCCCAGAGAGGCTTAATCGAACTTAATCGAACTCCAACTCCAACTCCAACTCCAACCCCTAAATGTGGGTGCAGCAAAAAGAAAAACAACAACAACCAGCTGGCCCGAAAGGCAGGTTCATTTTTTATCTGAACATTTAGAATATCCTAAAGCCGAATCCCGGAACCCCCCTCCCCTCCCTCCCCCCTTTCAAATCGCGACGCAGCGCCAAAAAAAACACACCAAGGCAAAGCCAAAGGCGGCCGACCGGGCAAAGGCATGCAAATAAAAATAGATTTTTCTCGGTATATAGGATAACGACACCAACGACCCCAAAGTTGCTGGCGCTCGCGTCGCTGCCGGCGTCGCAGTCGACGTTGTCGGGCAACGACCGGCAAAAACAAACGCATCCAAAACCAAAGTTTGCCTACCCCAGGCATCCATCGGTTCCATCCCTCTCGCTCTGACGCGCGCTCTGCCATCGCTTCCCTATAGCCCTCTCGTTCTCTGTGCTCTGTGGCTAATGTTAATCAGGGTGGACCTTAGACACAAGGAAGTTTGAAAATGTAAGTCGCAAAAAAAAATAAAATAAAAGCATATTATTTATGACCTTAACAAATCTTCAAAGAACCAATTTTGGTATTTTTGCAAAATCTTAATTATGTATATTCATATTTCTAAAATAAGAATATTCTTTATCAAAAAATTGTGACCATCCAAAAATGAATTATTTGTATAAATTATTTAAAACAAATTGAATAAATTCTAATACTTAAAAAGGACCACCCTAATCGGTTCCCTTTCCTTCCGTGTGTTTGTCAAAGAGAAAGAAGTGGAGATAGAGAGGGAAAGAGAGCGCGCACACACACACACACACATGGACGTGTACGCGTAGGGGTTGCTGACCTCGCTTCTCAGGGTCACCAAAGGTTGTTGAACTTGCCAGCACGCTATCTCCCTCTCGCTTGCTCCCATTTGTGGCGGGGCCCTTGTCTGTTGACGAGGGTCGCACGCCCCCTTCCCTATCGCTTGCGCTGCCTCCTTGTCGGTCCTTTTCCCTATTCTTCTTCTCCATCTCCTCCTTTCTTGCGGCTCGAAATGTGTGCTGGTCGTTGGCCTTTCGATGTCCCTCTCTCTCTTTCTCTCTCTCTCTCTCTTCCGCTCTCTCGTTGGCCCTGGCTCTCTCCGGCTCTTTCCCTCGTGACGTAATGTGGCAATTCCCGAATGCCTCTTCTCCTGCTCTTCACGAACAACTCGACAACTTCCCTTGTTGTTGTTCCTGCCTTTTGTACTCCCATTTTTGCTGCTGTTTTTTTTTTTTTCTTTTTGCGCGCTGCCTTTTTTTGTTTTTAGGGGAAGCAAAATGTAGGGCTGCCGTCGTTGCACCCCGTCTGTGTTTGCGCGCGCGTGTGTGTGTGTGTGTGTGTGTGTGTGTTTGTTGGTGCATAGTTCAACATTGTCTGAGGTTAGGGTTGAATGCTCGACGGTCTGCCCCGTTTTTCCTGCTTTCCACCGCTCATTTCTGGTCCCCGGCCAATGCGAACTGCAATCTGCAATATGTCGAGCGTTTTTGTGGTTCAAAATAATCCAGATTGGGTATTTCTATAGAGTTTATCAGAATATTTTCCTTTAAATCATATTTAATCCAACTTTTTGTAGGTTATTTTAAAGTTTTAGATTTTAAAATTGTTTATTGTCGTTGTTCGACTTCATTTCAATTTAATTTAAATTCAAAGAAATACTCTATGATTTTTCCTTATCTGCAACTTTCGGCACTTGGTAACAGTAATTCGGTGCCAGATTTTTCTAGGCCTTTTTTTTAACGATTCTTTACTTCGCTCTTTGATTTCTCCTTCTCCACCTCCTTCTCCACCTCCTCCTCCTCCTCCTGCTCCTTAGACCCAGCTATGTATGTTCTTTGCTTTTTTGCTGCCGCCTGGTTTATCAGTTCGGCGCGTGGTTGGCTTTTATCGGTCATTCGCCTTCTTCTTCCCCACGCAATGGGAGCGACAGAGATAGCAGGTCGGCGATAGCAGTGGGGGGGGGGAGGGGGGAAGGGAGGAAAAAGAGCGAATCTATTAGCCTGAGAGTGAGAGACAAAGAGAGAGAGAGTGCGTAGTGGTCAGCAATGCGTCACGTTGCCATCAATCACATGCAGAGCGAGGGAGAGCGAGAGAAAGCGGCGGGAGCCAGAGCGTGGGGAGTGGCAAAGAAGGTGGCCAAGCGGGGGGTGGGCGGAGGCTAGAGAATAAGAAGGAAAAGCCGTGACCGTGAAGTTTAACGCCCTCCGGGCAATGTTAACGTCGACGTCGACGCCGCAGTCAGCAGCGCTGCCCGCAGTCCACAATCTGCGAGACACAATCCACAGCACGGCACCTTTCACGTTCCACAAACGCAACTAACACACAGAGCGAAATAGTGCATTTAAAATGTACTTATTAAATATCAATTTATGGATTTTAAACAGTACAAATATTTAATTATTATTA